AAATCACTTGTTTGTTATCGTTACCTATTTGTTTGTTTATTTTTGCTGGATACATACTGCCAGGTTCTGGATTCAGTCTGCATCATCACGTACACGATGAGGAGGAGGAGGAGGATGAAGAAGAAGAAGGAGAAGGAGAAGGAGAAGGAGAAGGAGAAGGAGAAGGAGAAGGAGAAGGAGAAGGAGGAAAAGGAGGAGGGGGGCCAGGAGGAGGGACACAAGAGTAGTTTTCAGCATCAGCAAGACTTGTATTCCTGAGGTGATCTGAAGCCCTACAACTAAGCCTTCTCATGGTGCTCAGTTATGTTAACCTCATTAAGAGAATGCTTAGAGTCGGTGAGACGGCTTAGCGGGCAAGAGAGTTTGTGCCAAGCCTGATGACCCAAGTTCAACCCACAGAACCCACATAGTTCTAGGAGAGAACTAATTCCTGCAGGTTGTCCTCTGACCTCCACTGAGGCACATGTGTGTGCATACACACACACACACACACACACACACACACACACACACACACACACTAGATAGATAGATTAGATGGATGGACTGATGGATGGATGGATAGATTTTTTTTAAACCTTTAAGTACAAAAAAAGGAAATGGCTGGCCTTAGTAGTACACGCCTTTAATCCCAGCATTCAGGAGACGGAGGCAGGCAGATTTCTGTGAGTTTGAAGTCAGCTTGGCCTACAAAACAAGTTCTAGGACAGTCAGGACTGTTATACAGAGAAACTCTGTCTCAAAAACCAAAAACAAAACAACAAAAGAGGAACTATAGGCAGAGCCAGGTGGATCTCCGTGAGTTCGAGGCCAGCCTAGACTACCAAGTGAGCCCCAGGAAAGGCGCAAAGCTACACAGAGAAATCCTGTCTCGAAAAATAAAAAAAAAAAAAAAAAAAAAAAAAAGAGGAACTGTTCTGTGGTGGTATTTTACTTGTACTGAAATGTGATTTTAATTGTATGCTAATAAATAAAGTTGTCTGGGGGTCAGAGCTATTAGAGCCATAGCAAGTGCATGGTGGCGGTGGCGCATGCCTTTAAGGACCTGGAGGGCGGTACATTCAGGCAGTGACGAGGCAGTCACATGTTTGGGTTTACAACCAATGAGAAGGCAGAACAGCTAGACTATATAAAGACATACACACAGGAAGTAGGCCCTTTTCGGAGAGCTCTCTTGGCTGAAGAAGATCACTGAATCAGGAAGGGTGAGGCTCTTAGCTCTGACCTCTTGGCTTTCTTCTCTGAATCGGCTCTGTGTTTCTTATTTAATAAGACGGTTGGGTATATCTACATTTGGCGCCCAATGTGACAAGAATCCATTAAAAACCGCTTAACTTGGCTTGGCGGCAGGTCCGGTTTCCCGCCAGGGTGGCTGGCTCCCTAGCCCGGGCCCAAGTCGGCTTGGCCTCAGGCCGGACTAACCTTGAGCTACTTGCTTAAAGCCGGTGCTACAAACAACTGATAATTCTTAGGATTATTTTTTCTGAGATGATGTTGAGTAAAATACAGTTTCCTCCCAGGCTGAAACATTGCATCCTGCAGGGAAGTTCCTTAAGCTACAAAACAGCTTCAGGAAATCCCTGAAACTGACCAGATTCACTAGGCCCCTCCCCACCAGAGTCAACAAGCCAAGCTGCTAACAAGACTCTCAGACAAGCCAGGGTGTGATGAACACTCAGCCTAGCTGAGCTGCCTGGGAGAGGTTTAGACCAACTGAGGCACCCGGAAAGGACACTCTCCAACTTCTAGAGCTGCCTGCAGGCTGTGCAGTGTGCTCCAGATTCTCAGCTTTTGTGAGCTGTCATCCATGCTGGGGTGGGCTTTGGTGATGGAGCTGTCTGTGAGTCGTTTCTGCTCCTGTAAGTAGCCCAACAAAACTCATCTTTCACCAAGTTGGACTTTGTATCCATACTTCAGTCTGTCATGGGCTCCTTATTTGGGGTGAGTAGATATGTGTGTAGTGTCTCCCCAGGAGAAATTTTGTCACACACAAATGAATCATTGAGGAAGGTGACAGTGAACTAATAGTGTGAGGGTGAAAGTGTATGGGAAGAATTGGTGTTATTACTATAAACACACTGCACTGCCCTGTGTTTCCTAGTCTAGTCGTGTGCTTACACTCACTGATCTTCAACAGTCTTGCAATGAGACAGTAACACACAGTGATGAAGATGATGGGCTCTGAGATGGGTACAAGATCTCTTAAGAGAGTGATGGGCATGTTCTGAAATAGGTATCAGTGATTACACAATTCAGTGGCTATACTAAAAACTGCTAACCTGTGCACCTTAAAAGGATAAATTATATGATATGTGAATGATATCTCAATAAAGTTTGAGCCTAGCCTGGCCTACATGGCAAGACCCTGTTGCAAAAACAAAAGCAAACAGCTTCTGCCAGCTTCTTGCACATGCCTGTTCTTTCATGCTGTCCCGGTAGTACCTTGGGTAGACCAGTTGTTCCCACCTGTGGGGGGCCGTGGGAGACCACCTCTGACCTACTCCCAACTTTCAAAGGGTTGGAGTAGGGTGGAGGAGAGAGGAATGAGGAAATATTAGAGAGAAAGATAGAAAGAGACAATAAGAAAGAGACACAGGATAGCTTCAGGTGGGCCCTGGGTCAATACCCAGTCCCTAGGTTTATTCAAAAGGACTTTTTATAATATGCCGGGGGGGGGGGACGACAAAAGATCTCCCCCTTGCAAGATCAAAACACACCATACAGCCAAGTGAAGACCCTTCCAAACACCTGGTAAACATGCCCGTGGCCAGATCATCTCCTTATGTGGCCCTGCTGGGTAAAGCAAGCTCAGATTCTCTCACCCTAAGTAAGGTCTCACTGGAGAGCCTCTATGGGCTCCTACACCCACCCACCACACCAGCTTCTAAAACACAGGCAGTTAAATAACTAATCAAACGACAAGATGCCCCTCTCTCCCACCATGTCTGTAGCAGAAGGAGCGGGACTATGGGGCTCTCTGGTTGGACATTCCTCCGTGTACTTCCTGACGAGCAACGGTCTTGCGACACACTTTTCCCATCATTGTCCTTGTGTGTCGGGTGTGATGGAAGTACCACCGTTCTAAGAATCTGTAAGATGTGCCCCGTGTTCAGTTCCCGAGCCTCTCCTATGCCAAGCTCCAGAAGGATTTGCTCTTCTCGCAGATTTCTAGACCGTGGTTCTGACACCCCTTCTTTACTTCTCCTTAGGAAATCAGTTCTGCTCCCAATGTCCGTTCATTTCTGATATTCAGCCGCCATGCCCTGCCCCCTGGGGTTTTTGGTGAGTATCTGTTAAATCCTCACCTATAGGCTGGGTCTCTGAATGTGGGTTTCACATTTCACAAAACTAACTGCTGTGTTTTTATGCATCATCCTCTATGGCTCCATCTAGGTTCTTGAAGCGGTCATGCCAGGTTACGTGATTACACAGGAGCCTGACCTTGGCTTACGGGAATTTAAAAAGTCCTTTAAAACATATTTTTGTATTTATTAAAGCTGGCTTTTGCTGGATATCGTGGCACACATCTTTAGTCCCAGCACTCGGGAGGCAGAAGCTGGGGAAACCTCTGTGAGTTAGAGGCTAGCCGGGCCTATATAGTGAGTTTCAAGACACTCAGAGCCACATAGAGAGACCCTGTCTCAAAAACGCAAAAAATGACAATTAAAACAAAAAAGAAAAGTTGGTTTTTAAAGAAAGTCTTATGTATTCTGAAAATATGTTATAACAAATAGGAAGTAGGAAACTAAAATTTCAGTCAAAGTAATACCATCTGGGCTCCAGAGACGGCTCAGTGGATAAAGTGTTTACTGGGGAAGTATGAGGAGCAGAGCTCAGATCTCGGGCAGACATATAAAGCTGGAGCGGGAGTACATGAGCTTCAGGTTTAACAAGAGACCCTGCCTCATATATAAAACAGATCAGTTAAGGAGACACCCCAGGTCAACCTCTGGCTTTCGCAAGTGTGCATGTGTGCGCGCGCGCGCACACACACACACACACACACACACAAATTAAAAAAAAAAAAGTTCCATCATCACTCCACACTAAGTTCCTGGAAGCGTTAAGACCCAGCGAGACAGCACACAGAGCTAGTAAGACAGTAAGTGGTACTGGAAATGGACTGGTTTTAAAAGGTCATGGTGTCAAACAATTCATAATGCATTCCATAAGTGGGATGCAAAACTCCGCCATTCTCTGAGAAGGCGAAAACCTCCGTGTCTCCTAAGTTGAGATAAGGAACACTCAGGATGCTGCCCCCACCATCCTCAACCAGAGCACCGAGAAGCGTGACGGGCGACCGGCACGGCACACACCCGCTCTGAGGACTTGAAGTTTCAAAAACATTCCAACTTTGAACCTTTTACAAATGTGTTCTAATCTCAGCCTTTATTTTTAATTTTGCATACAGCTGTCTGGCGTGCTTTTCAGAATCGTGCCAGATGCTGGGTTCATCAAGAAAAGGCAGGAAAACAATGACTGGAAAGCAATTACAAGAGCCAAGGCTGCAGCGAGGCTCATATTAAAATGTGATAGCACTGTTCTGGTGGGAATTCCAACACGGCTCCACTTCTGACATTTCTCTGCTGCCAGACAGTCTGTGTGGAAGGACACTGCGATGGAGGATAGAATGCTAGAATTTATTTCTGGGGCAAATGAAGGATTAGCCAAGTTGGAACCCACCCAAGGATTTTATTATGGTCTTGGCCACTGCTCTGTTTGAGTTGCAGGATCCCATTGGCATAGAACGAAACTCAAGGAATAAAGGCATATTATTGCTCTGGTTCAGTAAAATAATCCAGCAGCCATTCAAGGCATGGTGCCTCTGGTTGCTGAAATAGCAGATCGGGGGGGGGGCCCAGTGGGGTGAAGGTTAATTAAACACTCCACTGATTTTGCTCAGAAATGGCTAGTGCTGCTCTGTGGAGAGACTTAGAAGACACAATGAAATCATCTACACATTCTTAATATAAAGCTACTTATGGTCAAGGAGTACTCACCTTGGGGCTGAAAATCCCAACAGTACCTGAAACACAAGAGAAAAGAGTGGAGATCAGTCAAACTTGAATGTTTCAACTGTGGTTCATATACCATGTCTGGAGACCTAGTCCAAAAAAGCGAAACAGTCCATCATCAGCCAGTTTGGCGTTAAGAAAAGCAAGTCGTCCTTGGTGTTTTCAAGATTCCTAATGGCTTAAAAGCTGCATCAATTTGCTGCAACTAAGCAGAGTGCCTTTTAAAACTGGATGGAGGCTGAAGAGATGACTCAGTGGTTAAGAGCAATGGCTGCTCTTCCAGAGGACCCGGGTTCAATTCCCAGCAGCCACCTGGCAGCTCACACCTGTCTGTAACTCCAGTTCCAGGGCTTCTGACACCCTCACACAGACATACATGCAGGCAAAACACCAATGATCATAAAATAAAAATAAGTTAAAAAAAAAAAAAAAACCCTGTGCATAACTAGGAAAGAAGCCCATGGTAGCTCACGGTTTGAGCAAGATGGTTCTTTTTTTGTTTTGTTTTGTTTTTTGTTTTTCGAGACAGGGTTTCTCTGTGTAGCTTTGCGCCTTTTCCTGGAGCTCGCTCTGTAGATTAGGCTGGCCTCAAACTCACAGAGATCCGCCTGGCTCTGCCTCCCGAGTGCTGGGATTAAAGGCGTGCACCACCACCGCCCGGCTGCAAGATGGTTCTTTATTGAGACACCTGCCTTGTGGATTACAGCACCATCAGCACCACTGGCCTGGGCAGCAAACACCAGTGATGCTCCTATTGTTAGAAGGACCCAAACTCCAGTACCAAGAACGCATCCTCAGCTGCGCTCACTGCTCAAGTGTACAGGTAAGGCCCCGACAGTTGTCTCACACCGTAGCAGCTGAGCCCAGAAACGCAGCGGGCCCATGACATCCACGGTTCCTTCTCCTCTCCCCTCACTTTGTGAAATGATGGGCAGAACCAACAACCCTTGAGGTCTGAAGTACTGAAGACCATGATGGAAAGGATGGCTTGTAAATCACATCTATGGAACCTGACTCACTCCCCCTCACCCCCAACACACCCAGAAACAATGTCACTGACGGTGGTTATCCACAGAAGCCTACTTAGTGCCCTCACAGGAAACTCGCATTATTCCGTATTGATTTTCCTCCAGGGTCTGACCACTTTCTTCCTCTCAACTTGGCCCTTCCCATCAGTGTGTGTGCTGTTGTAAAACGAAGCACATCCTCCCCTCACCCCTTCAGTCTGTCCATCTCCAACCCCATTTTCTTCTCGGCAGAATGCTCTATTCAAACGCTGGCTCTCCTCACGTCCTCATCTCCTTTCCCCCAGTATACTCCATCAGGCTTGCGGTGACTACACCTTGATTCTTTGAACAGACCTGAATCCTTCCACACCACTAAGTGGGATGAATGTTTTGCTATTCTCATCCTGGCCTCTTGGGAATTTGTATCTGAGGCTTTCTAGGGGGAAAAGTACATGTTTTTAATTGAATTCTTAATCAAACCAAGAGGGTCCGTAACCACAAAAGGTTCAGGGAAAGGCCATACTTGGGTGGCAATGATGTCGCCCAGTGTCAGCATGACTAAAGTTAGATTTGGCTACATTAAGGGGGAATATCAGCCTAAGATCCAGACTATTTCTCCACCACTCTTCATACTGTAGAAAATAGAGCAGTGAGAGGTCAGTCGGGAGGGAGCTGCCATAAAACAGAGGCAGCTGGAGGGAAGTTATTAGAGAAGAAGAAGAAATCAGAGTGGGAAGCTAGAGTTTGCTCCCCTAGACCCACGTCATCTGACCACTGGGTGAAGAGACATATAAAGTAATGGGCTGGAGAGAGGGCAGAGGAAGGGCAGAGTAGCAGGAAAGGAGAGGTGTGAAGGAAGAGGTGGGAGCCAGCAGGCTTCTCCATCCAGGAGAAGGGATGTCCATGAGGACACGTGCACACTAGAACTGGCCTACATCTAATTCAGCTGGGTGTAACTGTAAAGCGGGTCAGAGTCCACCCAGCATGGTTCAGGGGACCATTGCCCCAAACTCCTTCCTGTGAAACACACTTGGATCACCTTCTTTTCTCATCACTGTGACAAAACACGTAAGAAGAAGCAATATGGGGCTGGAGAGACGGCTCAGTGGTTAAGAGCACTAACTGCTCTTCCAGAGGACCTGAGTTCAATTCCCAGCATCCACATGGCAGCTCAAAACTGTTTGTAATGCCAGTTCCAGAGGACCCAAAACCCATGGCAAAATATTAATACACATAAAATAAAAATTAAAAAAAGAAGAAGCAATAAGGAAGGAAACATTTCTGTTGGCTTATGCTTTAAGGGAATACGGTCCATCTTGGTGAGGGAGGACATAGACCCAGGCAGCAAGTGGGGACAGAGGGTGGCCTGTGAAAGGGTGGCTGGTGAAAGGGTGGCCGGTGGAAGGGTGGCCTGTGGAAGGGTGGCCGGTGGAAGGGTGGCCGGTGGAAGGGTGGCTGGTGGAAGGGAGGCCGGTGGAAGGGTGGCCGGTGGAAGGGTGGCCGGTGGAAGGGTAGCTGGTGGAAGGGTGGCCGGTGGAAGGGTGGCCTGTGAAAGGGTGGCTGGTGGAAGGGTGGCCTGTGAGAGGGTGGCCTGTGAGAGGGTGGCCTGTGAGAGGGTGGCCTGTGAAAGAGTGGCCGGTGGAAGGGTGGCCAGTGGAAGGGTGGCCGGTGGCACTGAGGCTGCAGTCAGAAAAGAGAGTTTAGCAGTAAGTGGCCAGGGCTGTCATCTTCCAGGGATCGCTCCCTAGTGCCTCACTTCTGCGAGCCAGACCTCTTAAAGGTTCTTGTGACCTCCCAACAGTGTTAAAACACACGAGCCTGTGGAGGACATTTCCTGTTCACATCCGAGCAAGCAACCAAGCAGATCATCAGACAATGAACGGTGGTCCAGCTTCTGCCGCTTTCCACCCTGTCTTGGAGCAGTGCTCGAGCACCCAACTCTTACTATTCCTCATCTTCTAACTACACACATGGAGAAATCAGGGGGTTGGAGGCGGCTCAGCAGTTCAAAGCACTGGCCGCTCTTCCAGAAGACGTGGGTTTGATTCCCAGCACCCACATGGTGGCTTACAACCATCTATAACTTCAATTCCAAGGGATCAGATGCCCTCTTCTGGCCTCTGTGGGTATCAGGCATGCATGTGGTACACAGACATACATACAGGCAAAACAGCCATACACATAAAATAAAATAAATAAAAAACAAGGGTGTAAAACACACACACACACACACACACACACACACACACACACACACACACACACACACACACACACCTCTTTCCCAAATGTTAATGACACAATAAAAAGAGCTTTACTAACCAATACTACTCTTATATTACTCTGTTTTGTTGGTCTGGAGGGAGTTGGGGAAATCGAGCCAGGGAGCAGCAGTGTTTTAAAATACTGACTCTGAGCAAATTATTAAATAAGTAAAACATGTTATTGACAATCTCAGCCTTTTTCTGTGCCTCTTTCTCCCACTATCCCCACCCCAACATCTATTTTCAGTTCCCTTCTCTATCAAGTCCAGTTTTCTTGGTTTCTCTTGTTAGTCAAGAAGACAGGCCATGTCATAAGTTCACATAGACTTAAGAGTACTGGCTGCTCTTCCAGAAGACCCTGGTTCAATTCCCAGCACCCACATAATGGCTCCCAACTGTCTATAACCACCATCCCAGGGGATCCAATGCCTTCTTCTGGCCTTTGCAGACACCAGACATGACCACATTGCACAGACATGCACGTACGCAAAATACTCGTGCACATAAACTAATAAAACAATAAATTTAAATATTAAACAGGGGTAACAACAAGAAGAAAAAGACGAATAAGTTACAAGGCTCTAATTAATGTGTAGTGTGTGACTCTAGTCAACAAAACTACATTAGATACCTGGAAGAGGTGAAGAGTAGGTCTGACTCATTCTTATAAGAAAGGCAACTTCAGGTGGGAGGTGGTGGATGTGCTAATTAAAATGTAACCATTTCACAATGTGTATGTAGCTATCAAATCATCTGCTTGCACATTTTAAATATATGTAATATATTTATTATTATTTTATTATTAATTATTTTTATTTTTATCTGGTGATGCTCATGTTTTGAACTTGGTGGGAGTGAACATTAGTTCCTCTCTTTTCTATCGAGTCTTTTCCTTTCTTCCTCCTCTAAGTTTTAATACAATAGTCTAAAGGAAGTTTGCTTTAAACACAGGAGCAAACATAGCAAAAACACACTACCCCCAGAGGACATTTTGTTTTGGTTTGTTTTTAAGACTAGTCTCACATAGCCCAGGCTAGCCTCAAATTCCCAAAGATGACCTTCAGTTATTGATCCTCCTGCCTCCATTTCCTGAGTGTTGGGATTACAGGTATGAACTGCTATACCCAGGTTTATGCTGCACTGAGGCGTCAAACCCAGGGCCTTGCTCATGCTAGGCAGGTACTCTACCAACTGAACTATATCCCCAGCCCCAGAGGGCACTCCTAAGAGGAAACTATAAAATATCAGCAATGTCAACTCTCAAGAAAGGGCCCCAGCTCATTCTCAGCTGGACACATTTGAGGTCTTCATCTTGTCTGGTTACACATATCCTGTGGCTGCAGAGTTCTGTGCTCTTCGGGAGGCAGCTAGTTAAATCCTGCCAATACCTTCCAATTCTTACACTTCGCTCTAAAGACAATTCTCTTTAAGCCAGAGAGCACAACAAATCTGGAGCTAAGTGTTTTAAACCAAGATACAAAGACTGCAAAAGAAGTAAGTGTACAGAAGGAAACACGTTATCAGTGTGCACACAGCGTTATGGTGCGCACACACACAGAGTTGATTCTAGCCCAAAAGCCTCCGCGAATTCCCGATCAGGCCTGTGAGGACAGATAACAAACACTTCTTTAATCTTCTCTTTGAACCTTCAGCTTCTATAGGAAAGGGAAGCTATCATTCCTCTGCAACAGCCACGCTCAGCCTCACCAGGTCCATGCAAATGAAATTCGGGACTGAAAA